TCCGTGGCAAACAAGACCTCCATGGTGGCCACGTCATCCGTGGCAACCAAGACCTTCATGGTGGTCAAGACCCCCCTGGAGACCCCTGCCCGGGTTCATACCTCTCCCCATTGACACACCATGCCTCCCGTGCTGCAGGTGAGGACAGCCCAGAAGGATCTGCCCCCGGAGCGCCAGGCCTCGCAGCAGATGGTGGCCGAGGCGTACCAAAGCCAGGGGAACTCTGGCAACTACCTGCACCTGGCGGTGGGTGCTAGCCAGGTACAGCCCGGGGACAACCTCCCCGTCAACTTCCATCTCAAGAGCAACAGAGAGGATGTCCGTAAATCCGTTTCCTACTTCACCTACCTGGTGAGCACGCGCGACTTCTGCCACCTCCCAACCCCATTCCAGGGATTGGGGTGCCCAAACAACCCACCCTCTCTTCCTACCCACCCTTTTCTTGCCCACCGCAGATCCTGAGCAAGGGACACATTGTCCACGTGGGACGGCAGCCAAGGGAAGGTGACCAGAGCCTGGTCACTATGTCACTTCCCGTGACGGCCAACCTCATCCCTTCTTTCCGTATCGTTGCCTACTATCACGTGAAACCTGGCGAGATCGTGGCTGATTCGGTCTGGGTCGATGTCAAGGACACCTGCATGGGCAGTGTGAGCGTGTCCCCATCATCTCTGGAGTTGGGGGGGGGACCATTGGGGCATTAGTTGGCCCTTGGAAGGGGTTCAGTTGGCTTTCAGACAGGATCGCGTGGTGTTTGAGTGGCTCCTTGTGGGTCTTGGGGGGCTCACGGGGTCCTTGGGCAGCTTGAGTGGCCCAACGGGGGACTTGCAGGTCCTTGGGGACTTGGAGAGCCTTTGAGAAACTTGAGTGGCCCTGTGGAAATTTGAGTGGCCCATTGGGGACTTGCGTGTCCATCGGAACTTGGATAGCCCTTGGGAAAGTTGAGTGATCCGATGGGAATCTTGGTTGGCCTGATGGGGGACTTGCAGGTCCTTGGAGGCTTGGGTAGCCCTTGGGGAACTTGAGTGGCTAATGGGCATCTTGGGTGGCCCAAAGGGTGATTTGGGTGTCCTTTTTACTTGGAAATCCCTTGTGGAACTTGAATGACCCAATGAGGGACGTGGGTGTCCTTGTGGTCTTGGGTATCCTTGAGGACCTGGGTGACCCTTGGGGAATTTGAATGGCCCAGCAGAAATTTGAGTGGCCCAACGGGCCTTGAGAATTTCAGGTGTTCTTTGGGAAGATTGGATATCTTGGAGGGTATGTGAGCATCTCTGGGGGAACTGGGTGCTGCTGGGAGGTTTGAATGTCCCAGGAAGGGCTTAGTGTCTTTGAGGAGCCCATAGGATATTTAGGTGGCCTTTGAGGGGAGTGGGTGTCCCATGATGGTTTGGATGGTCCATGGGGGAATCAGGTGGTCCATGCAGGGTTTGCTCTTCAAGAGAGGTTTGAATGCCCTTGAGGTTTCCTATGCAGAGCCTGGGCAGCCCATGGGCGCCTTGAGCATCTCACAAATAGTTTGCGTGGTCCACGGGTGGCTCAGGTGGCCAACTGGGACACAGCCATTGGTTGTCCAAGAGTCCAACGTCCTGTGGGGGCACAGACGGGGCACCTCCTAGGGTTGGTGGGGGCTTTTTGCATTCCCCACAGCCCCAACCCTGCTGTGTCCCTGGCAGCTGGTGGTGAAGGGAGCATCGGAGGCCGACAATCGTGTGCACGAGCCGAGGACCCCCATGCGGCTGCGCATAGAGGGCGACCACAAAGCCCACGTGGGGCTGGTGGCCGTGGACAAGGCTGTCTATGTCCTCAACAAGAACAAACTCACCCAGAGTAAGGTGGGAGCTCCAGTTCCACCCTCTGCCATCCCCAGCATCCCCCGTGGTGGCAGGAGGATCTTTCAGGGTTGTCCTTTTTTTGGCCACAGGTGTGGGACACAGTGGAGAACAGTGACATCGGCTGCACCCCGGGCAGTGGGAGGGACCACGTGGGGGTCTTCGCCGATGCTGGCCTCAGCCTGGCTACAAATGTGAACATCAAAACGGAGCAGAGAGGTGGTGGGTGACGTGATGGGAAGGGGAACAGACACCAGAGGGGTGGGACACGCCGAGCGTGGGGATGCCATGTCCTCAGAAAGTGGAGTTGTGTCAGCGTGGGGATGGAAGCCACGGGTGACATGGTGGGGATGGGGGTGTGACACCTCAGGGGGGGAGGATGTGGTGATGGGGTGTGGGGTGTGACGCCTGTCTTCAGTGGGAAGTGACACGTGGATCCTGACCAATGTCACCTTCGTCCCCAGAGGTCCAATGTGCCAAACCTGCGAAGCGCAAGCGCCGCTCCGTGAAGCTCATCAAGTACAAAGGCACCAAGAGTAGGTGGCACTGGGAACGCCAGCATCTCCTGGGTCCTCAGGGACACCGCATTGTCCCATCACCCAAGATGCTGGATTGTCCCACGTCCCGAGGGACACCAGAGCACCCCACATCCCCAACGGGGCCGCGAGGTTGGGTGCCATCGGGGTGTTTTGGTGCTGGCAGTGGCCGAGTACGATGACAAGAACCTGCGCAAGTGCTGCGAGGATGGCATGAAGGAAAACCTGATGGGCTACAGCTGTGAGAAACGGGCCACTTACATCCTCGATGGCAAAGCCTGCACTGAAGCCTTCCTCAACTGCTGCCTCTACATCAAGGGCATCCGCGACGAGGAGCGCGATCTGCATTACGAGCTGGCTCGAAGCAAGTGCTGGGAGCAGTGGGGTGACAGCTGGGAGGGATGGATGGATGGGCAGAGCTTGAGAAATGCTTGGATGGACGTTAAGTGAAGAGTGGGTGATGTTTGGGTGGTCGGTGCGTGAGTGATGCTTGCGTGCATCTCGGGAATGCCTGGGCAAAAGTGGGGTGAAGCGTGAGTGAAGCTCATGTGAAGCTTGGGGGAAGCTTCAGTGAACTGTGGTCAATGCACGAGTGGTCTGGTGCATATCCTGGGAGATGTCTGGGCAATGGTGGGATGATGCTGGGGCAAAGGTTGGGCAGTGGTGGCCCAGCAACTGGGAGATCTTGGGGCACAGTTCGGGTGATACTTGCAGAAAGGTTGGGTGACATTTGGGCAAAGATTGGGTGATGCTTTGGGGGAGCTGCAGTGAAGCGTGACCAGTGCACGAGTGATGCTTGCACGTATCTTGGGAGATGTTTGGGCAAAGGTTGGGCGAAGCATGAGTGAAGCTCATGTGGAGCTTACGAGGAGCTTGGTTGATATTTAGGCAATGCCTAGGCAAAGACTGGGCGACGCTTAGGTGAAAGTTGGGTTGTGCTGGGGATGATTCCGGCACCATCCAGCAGATGGGATCCTATGAAAACAGATGAGGTTGAGAGGGCTGTTGCCATCCCCAGGTGAGGTGGATGATGCCTTCCTGGCTGATGAAGACATCACTTCAAGGAGCCTCTTCCCAGAGAGCTGGCTGTGGCAGGTGGAGGAGCTGACAGAACCGCCCAATGAACTGGGGTGAGCCCAACGTCCCTGTTCCAATAGAGGTGACACTCCTACACTGGCCTGAGGACAGCCACCACCCCATATCCCAATGTGGGGATCCATGATCTCCTACCCAACAGGACCTGGACCCCAACAAGCCCAAAGTGGGGGCAAGCCATGACTCCCTCAGTCTATATGAGGTCAACATATGGCACACTTGGCCTTGGGACCAACTGACTCCTTAGTCCAGCTCCACGGTCACCTACATCCCATGGTCCAGCCAGGGGACGAGCTATAACCATCCTGGTCCACTTTAGTGGCTGCTTACACCCCTCTGTCCAGATGTGGATCCAATTCTAACTCCCTTGGTGGTTTGCACCCCCTCTAGCATCTCCACTAAGACGCTGCCCATATACCTGAAAGACTCCATCACCACCTGGGAGGTCCTGGCTGTCAGTCTCTCTGAGAAGAAGGGTATGTGATGGAGGAGGAAGAGGTTCCTGGGAACTAGAAGACTCACTCAAATCTTGGGCTTGGACTCTAGGACTTGAGGAGTCCCCAAAACGTGGAGGGGTTAACTTGGGGATTGAGGGGTCTCCAAAATGAGAGAGGGATTTGTAACTCTGAAGAGATATTCCAAACTCTGGGGACATCTTTGGAACTTGAGGAGTCCCCAAAAATCCGGAGGGGTTATTTTGGAGTTTGAGGGGTCTCCAAAATGTGAGAAGGATTTGTAACTCTGGAGAGGTATTCCAAGCTGCGGGGACGTCTATGGGACTTGAGGGGTCAGGCAAACCTTGAAGGAACTCGGAGAGATTTCCCAAAGCCTCAGGGATGTCCCTGGGACCACAAGGGGCCAAATCAGCTCGTAATCCTCAACCCCCAGGGCTGTGCGTGGCCGACCCCTATGAGATTACAGTGATGAAGGAGTTCTTCATCGACCTGCGCCTGCCCTACTCGGCGGTGAGGAACGAGCAGGTGGAGGTCCGCGCCATCCTCTACAACTACTGGAAGAGCAAGATCAAGGTTGGTGCCTCTCTCCAGCACTTGTAGGGGATCCGTGGCCACCTGGACCCAATGTCTCTCTGCATCCCCAGGTGCGCGTGGAGCTGATGTACAACCCAGCCCTGTGCAGCGCATCCACCTCCAAGACGCGCTACCAGCAGATCTTACAGCTGGAGCCTCAGTCGTCGCACGCCGTGCCCTTCGTCATCGTGCCCTTGCAGCTGGGGCAGCACGACGTCGAGGTGAAGGCGGCCGTCTGGGAGAGCTTTGTGTCTGACGGTGTCAAGAAGAAGCTCAGAGTGGTGGTGAGTAGCCCTCGCTGCCACCTCGGTCCTCCGATGTACTCAGCTCCTCATGGTCCTCCTGATGGCATCATCGTCCACACTTCATCCCGGTGCTGGTACCCAGAGATGAAGGATCCCCCATCTGTGCTTGGTACCCAGAGATGAAGGATCTCACCCCATCTGTGCTCGGGGGTGGTCTCCTGGGACTCTCCCACCTTGTCCCCCTGGAGGTCTCCCAGTTTGTCCCATGACCACGTGCTGGTTGATGTTGGAGCACTTTCTTGGCCAACCTGGAGAGGTTGGGAAGGGGAAACTTCAAATCGGCTCAGCACTGAGTGTGGGTCTCTCCCCTCTGCAGCCCGAAGGGATGAGGCTGGAGAAGACAGTGAAGATAGTTGAGCTTGACCCAAAGACGTTGGGAAACAGTGAGTGGCCCTTGTCTGGTCCTGTAGGAGTCTCATCCCATGGGATGAGTGGGAGGAGAAGGGAAATTGGGAAATACAACTGTGTGTGTGAAGTGTGGTGGATGTAAAACTAAGGGCAAGACTGGAGCATACTGTGGGATGAGGGTCAAACAGTGTGACACTATGGGGATGGAGGGCTGTCCTGTTGGCCTCTGGGGTATCAGTGGAATCAGGGACATCCCACTGTGGAGTGGAGACATCTCAGGGGAAAAAGGAGATCCTGGTATGGATCTGGAGCATCTTGGGGGATGAGGGACATCCTGCTGTGGATGTGGGGTGGGACTGGGTCATCTCAGGGAAAGGGGGAGGAAGGATTTGGGGCCACCCACCTCCATCCTGGCCTCTCTCTGCCCTGCAGACGGTGTGCAGGAAGTGAAGGTGAAAGCAGCAAACCTCTCTGACATCGTCCCCAACACCGAGTCGGAGACCAAAGTCAGCATTCAAGGTGACAGCATGGGAGAAGGGATGCACGGGGTGGGCTGGGAGGGGACAAGACACTCCTCCTTGACATCTCCCTTTCCGCTTGTCCAGGCAACCCTGTGTCCATCCTGGTGGAGAAAGCCATTGATGGGACCAAGCTGAAACACCTCATTGTGACCCCGTCGGGCTGTGGGGAGCAGAACATGATTGGGATGACACCCACTGTCATTGCTGTCCACTACCTGGACAGCACGATGCAGTGGGAGACCTTTGGTATCAACCGCCGTGCTGAGGCCATCGAGTTGATTAAAAAGGGTAAGAGCATCCTGGAGAGGAAAAAAGGGCTCTTTTAGGGTGCGAAATGAAACTGTCTTCCAAGGGGCAAAGGGCATCTGCGTCTTTGGAAAAGACATAGAAACATGGAATGTTTGGGTGGGAAGGATCCTTAAAGGTCATCGAACCATGGAACGGGTTGAGTCAGAAGGGATCTTAAAGATCATAGAACCTTGGAATCCTGAAATGATTGGGGTTGGAAGGGACCTTTGAGATCATAGAACCATGGAACGGGTTGAGTCGGAAGGGATCTTGAAGATTATAGAACCTTGGAATGCTGAAATGATTGGGGTTGGAATGGACCTTCGAGATCATAGAAGGAATGGGTTGAGTTGGAAGGGACCACCGAGTTCCAACCCATTCACACAAGTTGGGTGCTACCAGTTTGGGGATTCCTAGATCTACTGGTTCACTCTGGGATGGGCACCACAAGGGGTTGGTGGCCTAAAGCCATCCCTAGGTGACCCAGTTGGCCAACTGCCCTCTGCCCACCAGGTTACACCCAACAGCTTGCGTTCCGCAAAGACGACGGCTCATTTGCTGCCTTCACTAACCGCCCATCCAGCACCTGGTGAGGGTCCCATTCCCACCACCACCACGGGGGTTTGGTTGACAATGTGGGATGCTAGACTGAGTTATCCTATCCTCAGGTTGACAGCCTACGTGGCCAAGGTCTTTGCCATGGCCATCAACATGGTGGACATCAAGCCGGAGGTGGTTTGTGGTGCCATCAAATGGCTCATTCTGGAGAAGCAGAAGCCAGATGGGCTTTTCCAAGAAGATGCTCCTGTCATCCATAAGGAGATGGTGGTATGGGGGGAGACCCCAAAACTTGTCCCTATTCATGATCAAGACCCGCTGGCTCAAGGATGGGCAACTGTGGGAAAAGAAAACTGCACTGGGTGATGGGGACAAGAGTTGGGTGGACGTAGCTTGCTGTGAAACCCACAGAATCCGAGGTTTTGTTCCTCATTTTGCAGGGAGGCTACCACGGTGCTGAGCCCAGTGTGTCCCTGACAGCCTTCGTCCTCTCGGCGCTGCAGGAATCCCAGAAGATCTGCAAGAACTACGTGAAAGTGAGCAACGTCAACGTGTGGGGGCGGGGAGAGGAGAGGTGCCCAACCCCTATAACAGCCACCCGAGAACCCACATTGTCATCCTTTCTGCTCAGAGCTTGGATGGGAGCATTGCTAAAGCCTCCGATTACCTCTCCCGGAAATATCAATCTCTGACTCGACCCTACACGGTGGCCCTGTCTTCCTATGCCCTGGCCCTAACGGGGAAACTCAACAGCGAGAAAGTTCTGATGAAGTTCTCCAAAGGTGATGTCCCCAAAGCCGAACAAATCCAGGCCAGGGGGAAGTGAGGTTAGGTGCTGGGGGTGACGAATCCCCATGTCCCCCCATGTCCCTGCTGATCCCTGTGTCCTTCCGTATCCCCACAGACCCTTCGTATCCCCATGTCCCTCCATGTTCCCACATCTCTCCATATTTCCATGTCCCTCCATGTCACCACGTCCCTCCATGTCCTCATGTCCTTCTTCTATCTCTCTCCATGTCCCCATGTCCCACTAGGTCCCCGTGTCCCTCCATGTCCCCATGTCCTTCTATGTCCTCATGTCCTTCTATCCCTCTCCAAGTCCCACTAGGGCCCCATGTCCCTACAAATCCCCACATCCTCCTTCTATCTCTCTCCATGTCCCCATGTCCATCCATGTCCCTATGTCCCTACTAATCCCCATGTCCTTCTTCTATCCCTCTCCATGTCCCTTCATGTCCCCATATACCTACAGATCCCGATGTCCTTCTATCTCCCTCCATGTCTCTTCATGTCCCCATGTCCCTACAAGTCCCCATGTCCTTCTTCTGTCCTTCTCCATGTTCTCATGTCCCTCCATGTCCCCATGTCCCTACAGATCCCCACGTCCTTCTTCTATCCCTCTCCATGTCCCTCCATGTCCCCATATTCCTACAGATCCCCACATCCTTCTTCTATCCCTCTCCATGTCCCTCCATGTCCCCATATCCCTACAGATCCCGACATCCTTCTATCTTCCTCCACGTCCCTTCATGTCCCCATGTCCCTACAGATCCCCACGTTCTTCCATCTCCCTCCACATTCTCATGTCCCTCCATGTCCCTGTGTCCCTACAAATCCCCATGTCCTTTTTCTACCTCCCTCCATGTCCCTCCATGTCCCCATGTTCCTACAGATCTCCATGTCCTTCTTCTATCTCTCCCCATGTCCCTCCACGTCCCTACGGCCCTACAAATCTCCACATCCTCCTTCTATCTCTCTCCATGTCCCCATGTCCATCCATGTCCCCATATTCCTACAGATCCCCACATCCTTCTTCTATCCCTCTCCATGTCCCTCCATGTCCCCATGTCCCTACAGATCCCCATGTCCTTTTTCTATCTCCCCCCATGTCTCTTCATGTCCCCATGTCCCTACAGATCCCCATGTCCTTCTTCTATCTCCCTCCATGTCCCTCCATGTCCCAATATCCCTACAGATCCCACATCCTTCTTCTATCTCCCTCCATGTCCCTTCGTGTCCCCATGTCCCTACAAATCCCCACATCCTCCTTCTCTCTCCATGTCCCCATGTCCATCCATGTCCCCGTGTCCCTACAGATCCCCACATCCTTCTTCTATCTCCTTCCATGTCCCTCCATGTCCCCATGTCCCTACAGATCCCCACATCCTTCTTCTATCTCCCTCCATGTCCCTCCATGTCCCCATGTCCCTACAGATCCCCATGTCCTTCTTCTGTCCCTCTCCACGTTTACACATCCCTCCACATCCCCATGTCCCTACAGATCCCCACGTCCTTCTTCTATCCCTCTCCATCTCCCTATGTCCCACCAAGTCCCCACGTCCACCCAGAGGGGAGTTTAGGGGACATGGTTGTGAGGTTGGGGAAGGGGGGGTTGACAAATCCCCTTTGGGTGATGCTGAGGTCCCAATGTCACCCAGAGGGCACCCACTGGGCGGAACGCAACGCCCACACCTACAACATCGAGGGGACATCCTACGCTCTGCTGGCGCTGCTGCATATGGAGAAGGCTGAGCTGACGGGGCCGGTGGTCCGCTGGTTGGCCCAGCAGAACTACTTTGGTGGTGGCTATGGATCCACCCAGGTGGGCTACGGACCCCCTCCCACTTCCGGCACCTGTGGCACACATAGCCATAGGGGGAATGGTGGTTGGTTGGTTGGGGCAAGATGGGGGCTGTCACCTTATGGCCATGGGGATCCCTGGGGACACCCCATGTCTGAGAGTCTGGAGATCTCTAGGACCTGTCCTGTCCTTTGAGGTCATGTCCTAACTTTTGGGGTCATGTCTTGTCCTTTGGGGACGCGTCCTGTCCTTTGGGGACATGTCATATCCTTTGGGGTCATGCCCTGTCCTTTGGGGTCATGTCATATCCTTTGGGGTCATGTCATAACCTTTGGGGTCATGCCCTGTCCTCTGGGGACATATCATACCCTTTGGGGATATGTCATATCCTTTGGGGTCATGTCCTGTCCTTTGGGGACACATCATGCCCCTTGGGGACATGTCCTGTCCTTTGAGGTCATGTCCTTTCCTTGGGAGTCATATCCTATCCTTTGGGGTCATATCCTGTCCTTTGGGAAACTGTCATGTCCTCTGGGGACATGTCCTGTCCTCTGGGGACACATTATGTCCTTTGGGAAATGTCCTGTCCTTTGGGGTCATGTCCTTTCCTTGGGAGTCATGTCCTATCCTTGGGAGTCATGTCCTGTCCTTTGGGGACATGTCCTGTCCTTTGGGGACACATCATGTCCTTTGGAGTCATGTCCTGTCCTCTGGGGACACATCATGCCCCTTGGGGACATGTCCTGTCCTTTGGGGTCATGTCCTTTCCTTGGGAGTCATGTCCTAACCTTTGGGGTCATATCCTGTCCTTTGGGGACCTGCCATGTCCTCTGGGGACATGTCCTGTCCTCTGGGGACACATCATGCCCCTTGGGGACATGTCCTGTCCTTTGGGGTCATGTCCTTTCCTTGGGAGTCATGTTCTATCCTTTGGGGTCATATCCTGTCCTTTGGGGACACATCATGTCCTCTGGGGACATGTCCTGTCCTTTGGGGACACATTATGTCCTTTGGGAAATGTCCTGTCCTTTGGGGTCATGTCCTGTCCTTTGGGGACCTGTCATGTCCTATCCTCTGGGGTCATGTCCTGTCCTTTGGGGACCTGTCCTGTCCTTGGGAGTCATGTCCCGTCCTTTGGGGACACATCGTGTCCTTGGAAGTCATGTCCTGTCCTTTGGGGACATGTTCTATCCTTTGGGGACATGTCATGTTCTGTCCTCTGGGGACACATCCTGTCCTTTGGGGTCATGTCCTGCCCTTTGGGGTCATGTCCTGTCCTTTGGGGTCATGCCCTGCCCTTTGGGGACACCTCACGATGTCCCCAAGATTCACCAATGACACCAGTCAGTCTCCTGGAGTTGGGGCTCAGCCCAGAACCCAAAGCTTTCGGGAACAGCCCAGGCAATGTCCCCCAACCTCAATGACCCCGTTGTCCCCACAGGCCACCATCCTGGTGTTCCAGGCTCTGGCTCAGTACCACGTAGCTCTGCCAAGGCAGTCGGAGCTCAACCTGGACGTGTCGGTGCTGCTGCCACGCCGCGCCAACGCCATCACCTACCGCATCGAGAACAGCAACGCGCTGGTGGCGCGCTCAGCTGAGGTACGGCACCGCGTCACCCCTGTCACCTGCGTCACCATGGTCACCCGTGTCATCCTTGGCATTGATGCCACTCCAGCCTTTGGTGTCACCATTGTCACCGGTGTCATCCTTGTTGATGCCATTCCAGCTGTGGGTGTCACTATGGTCACCGGAGTCATCCTTGTTGATGCCACTCCAGTCCTTGGTGTCACCACTGTCACCGGTGTCATCCTTGTTGATGCCACTCCAGCTACTGGTATCACCATTGTCATCCTTGTTGATGCCACTCCAGCCTTAGTGTCACCATTGTCACTGGTGTCATCCTTGTTGATGCCACTCCAGCTACTGGTGTCACCATTGTCACCAGTGTCATCTTTGTCATTGATGCCACTCTGGCCCTTGGTGTCACCATGGTCACCGGTGTCATCCTTGTTGATGCCACTCTAGCCTTTGGTGTCACCATTGTCACTGGTGTCATCCTTGTTGATGTCACTCCAGCCACTGGTGTCACCACTGTCACCAGTGTCATCCTTGTCATTGATGCCACTCCAGCCTTTGGTGTCACCATGGTCACCAGTGTCATCCTTGTTGATGCCACTCCAGTCCTTGGTGTCACCACTGTCACCGGAGTCATCCTTGTTGATGCCACTCCAGCCTTTGGTGTCACTATGGTCACCATTGTCATCCTTGTCATTGATGCCACTCCAGCCCTTGGTGTCACCCTTGTCACCAGCATCACGTTTGGCACAGATGTCACCAAAGCTGTCAGTCTCGTCACTTGTGTCACTCTTGTCTCTGGTGTCACCTTTGTCACCAGTGTCACTCTTGTTGGTGTCACTCTCGTCGTTGGTGGCACCATTGTCACTGATGTCACACTTGTCACTGGTGTCACCGTTGGCATCATCCTTATCACCAGTGCCATCATTGTCACTGGTGTCACACTTGTCCCTGGTGTCACCTTTGTCACCAGCGTCACTGTTGTCATTGGTGCCACCCTTGTCACTAAAGTCATGCTTGTAACAGGTGTCACTGTTGTCACAAATGTCACTCTGGTCACCAGTGTCACCCTTACCAGTGGTGTCACCCTCCAGTGCCACAGTTGCCACCAGGACGGTGGGGATGTGGCACACTGGGGCACCTCAGTGGCCCTGCTGGTGCTGTCCCCTCCGTGTCCTGAGATGTCCCTGCCCCTCCCCATTGTCCCCTGTCCCCACAGACCAAGCTGAACGAGGACTTCACTGTGAAAGCAGAGGGCACGGGCAAGGGGACAATGACAGTGGTGACCGTCTACAATGCCAAAGTGCCCGAGAAAGAAAACAAGTGTGACAACTTTGACCTGCGGGTCAATGTGGAGGACGTGAAGACGGGTGAGTCCCCATTTGTCCCCTGCCCTGTCCCCCACAGGTCCCCTTCTTGTTCCTACTCTGTCCCCCAACATCTCCTCCACTCCCCTCCGTGCCTCATCATCGTGTCCCCTTCCACATGTCTCACGTCATCTATCTTCCCAGTCCCCAAATAATTCCACGTCCCCACGTCCCTCTTCAGTCCTTCTCTATGTCTCCATGTCTCCACGTCCCTCCATGTCCCTGTGTTCCACCAGATCCCCGTGTCCCTCCACGTCCCCATGTCCCTCCAGTTCCCCATATTCCACTATGTCTCCATGTCCCTCAATGTCCCTCCATGTCTCCGTGTCCCCACCAGATCCTCATGTCCCTCCATGTCCCTCCATGTCCCCATGTCCCACCAGATCCTCTTGTCCCTCCACATCCCTCCATGTCCCCATGTCCCACCATGTCCCCATATTCCTCCATGTCCCTATACCCCATCAGATCTCCATATCCCTCCAGTTCCCCAAGTCCCTCCATGTCTCCATGTCCCACCAGATCCTCATGTCCCTCAATGTCCCTCCATGTCTCCATGTCCCCACCAGATCCTCATGTCCCTCCATGTCCCTCCACATCCCTCCATGTCCCCATGTCCCTCCATGTCCCCATGTCCCACCTGATCTCCATATCCCTCCAGTTCCCCACGTCCCACCATGTCCCCATGTCCCTCCATGTCCCACCATGTCCCCATGTCCCTCCATGTCTCCATGTCCCACCAGATCCTCATGTCCCTCCACATCCCTCCATGTCCCCGTGTCCCTCCATGTCCCCATGTCTCACCATGTTCCCATGGCCTTCCATGTCCCCACGAGCCTTCTGGTCCCCCTGCTTTCCTCCTGAGTCTCTCCCCTGATGTCCCACATGGGTAGCAGCACCATCCTTATCTCCCTTCACAGCCCGGGACCTGGAAGGTGCCATCCGCTCTGTCAAGATCACCATCTGCACCAGGTGGGACACAATGGGGACATCAGAGGTGTTTGGGACATCAGGGACATTGGAGAGAAGGAGAGCTCACTGTGGGCAGGGACACGGGAGATGGGGAAGGGAATGGGGTTGTTGGGGACAGGGAAATGGGAGATAGGGGATGTAATGGGGCTGTTGGGGACAGGGAAATAGGGGATGTAATGGGGTTGCTGGGGACAGG